ATATATAAAATTTAATATGTATATAAAGTAATTAGTATTATCACTAGCTTGTGTTCAAAAATGATAATCATGTGCAAAGAAAATATATCCACAATTAATGCGGTAATTTGCACATTTATCACTCTCTTTCATCTACTATATTTTTTTATTTATATTTCACAGAGAAGTTAGGTAAGTGGCATCGGCTAATTAGAGCACATGGAATTTTCCCTAACTCTCTAATAATCACATAGTTATGCAAGTTTTACCACAGATATTTGTTTTAAACACTCTACTTCTATTATCACTAATTCTCATATGAGTTTGAATGAATTTGAAAGTCAAGCCTTCAAGTTTCACTTAATAAAATTAGTAATATATGAAAAATGACTTACTTAATAATACAATATCACTTTTTACTAGACTAGGAACTAATTCATACAGTCAACTCACTGGGTTTATTTTTCACATTTGTAATAGATATTAAAAATAGTATAAAAATTATATAAACTATAAAACAAATAAATTAAAGGAACTATATGAAGAAAAAAATAATTTTTCGAGACTTTTCATTAAATATTGGAATATAATTATAATAAAATATTGGAAAAAAATGTAAAAGTACAATAGAAGGCTTCACTTTCAATGCCAAGCAATTAAATCCTCACTTTATGATTTTTTTTCTTATGGTATTTTTTGTATGAATGAACAATTATCTATTATTCATTAACATTATTACAGTTTTGGATCAACAAGAATTGCATTTTGTGAAATCATATGCATTGCAAGTTTCTCACAATTATCAAAAAGATATTTTGTTAAGATCTTAACATGACAATCTTGTTCTTTAAAATTTAGAAAAATACATTGTTTGGTCTACTCTGAATTGCTACATAGATATATGTATCACTTTGACCAATTATTATTAAATATTAATAAATATATTACTAATTAATAAAAGATTTATCTTTATAAAAATGCACACATTAACTTCAGAGTAATTATACTATATAACTATGTTGTGCTAATATTGAAGTTATTAGAAATCAATTACATCATTTTACACTACATAACATATTCAATTGGTTAATATCATATTATCACAAATTCAGAATTTATGAGGGAAAGTATTCAATGTTTAAAACATTTGAAATATTTTATAAACATTTAAGAAACATTAAAAAATGGCAAGTAAAGAATGTAGAATCGGTTAACTCAAGATACAAGATCTCTTCTGTTTTGATTTTTTCTCTGGTATAGATTGAGGAGAAGCATAGAGCGTTGATGGAGTTGCAGAAGTTATTGCAGCTGTTTCTTTTATGATTGGAGGGTCTTCCAACATGTCTGCCAATTCCTCACCACTATTTACTTCCAACTAGGATTCATTAAATTATTAACAAAAAAAAAAAAAAAAAAAAGAAAAAGAAAAACAAAAAGAAAATAAAAAAAGAAAAAGAAAAATTTTAATCTCAACATTAATCCATGAAAAGAGATAAAATCTAAAAGTAAAATAACTACACAATGCAACTAAAAGAATAAAATACCTGCTAAAATTGATAGATAGTATATATATTTTAATTTAAAATAAAATATATTTCTTAAATAATAAAAATATAATATATAATTAAAAATTATTTATTTAAAAAGCACAGATTCAGATTCTAATACAAATTACCAGTTTTAAATGATCCTGTTAAGACATTCATGCAAAAAAGAAACCAATAGAAAGAAAATAAATTGAAAGATATTATCTTTATTATGAAATTTTATCTATCTACTTACCTTTTTTGTTATAATCACTCCAAGTGATTGAATAAGTTCTAGAAGTGGTGCTTTACATGATGAATATAGCATTCTTTCCTTAATACTGCAACTATATCCAGGCATACTATATATAAATACTGTAACATCATAATAAAAATATATTATTGATTGAAATACTAACACTTTTATTTTTAAAACATACCTATACATTCCATGTAATCTCCTTCATGTGTGTGCTTAAAATTATAAAGATGATATCTAGCAGAATCAGATGGAACTTTTGTTGGTAGTTTATCCAATGAAACTTCACAAGCCATTACTAAATGTATTTTTTCTTCTTCTAAATCAATTTTTAACTGAACATATTCATGTATACCTTTACCAAGTTCTGTAATTGCTTGTTTTGCCTCATCTGTCACAGGGAAAGCAACTCCACTTAATGTTTGATGTCTTGTTTCTACACTGTAATCTGTAGTAACTGTATTTTTTCTAAGTTCTGCTAATTCTTCTTCTGCTGTAGTTAATGGTGCTGGTGCAGCATTATTTCTTTTATATTTATGATAACCTTCTAATGTTATATCTTCTGGTACTGTACCATGTAATTCTTCTTTTATAGAAGCGGTTCCAAATTCTTGTTTTAAAGTTGCTTTAGTTGATGCATATAGCATCTTTTGTCTAACTGGTGCAGTATCAGGTGACCAAGAAATAAATAACCAATCATAACCAGAATCAGGAGATTTAGTATCTAATCGATAAAGAATATATGCAGGTTGATTTTCAATGATTAATGGCTTGATCATCTTATCATAATCATCTTGCCATTTGTTCACTGGTTTCGAGAAAGCAGCAGGTGTTAGTTCTTCTATGAAACAAAAAAATTTCTTTCATTTATGATATTCATATAATATCGTATACTTTACAAATCTATATAAAAAACTTACCATTTTCGATAGAAACTTTCAAAACTCGTATTTTTCCATCTCGACATTTGGTAAATAACTTTTTAAGTGCATCATTTGCTGAAATAGGCAAAGTTAATATATAAAAATATATAAAAACATTGAGGTTAAAAACCTAAATTTATTTAACCTAATTATAAAAATTTCTATGGATTTGCTATATAAAAATAATATTATATTACAATAAATACCTCTGATTCCTGTTTGATGTGACATGGTTTGTGGAAAAATCAATTTTCACTAAAAATATGGTAAAAAATTAGTTTTACTTCCTCTGAAATTAATTCCTTTTGAGATTAATTGCGAATGAAAATACACTAGCACAAACAGAGCGTATAAATGACTAGAATATGAAAAAAAAAATTATACGATATCCGAAATCAAGAAAAATCACCAGCAAAACCTATTTACAGAAAAATTTTTCGGGAGGATCCTAGCAACAGACGATCGAATGTCACGCCAGTCCTAGTGGATGCTGACGAACGATCTGTCAAGAATGTTCTAAATGGAATTTCAGTTTATAATTCCCTTAAAAAAAAAAATCACAAATAATTACGTTTTAATTGTAAAATTTATTATAATAATATCTATTATAATTATTAAAATGAACAAAAATTGTCAAAATTGCACTTTGTTTTTACTTTTTATTTGCATAAATCTACTATATTCATTCTTTAATTCTATTTTCTAATTTTTTAATTTTAATTATATTAATTATTTATATACAATTTATTTTGATTATTTCATTATTTTAAATATTCTAGCTAATAAAAAAAATATTTGTTTTAATTTTTTATATTATTTAATTTATTTTAAAATTATTATTTTTGTATATAATATCATTTGTGTTTGAAATGTATATGTAATTCGTATGTTTCATGAGTAACTTAAGATGGCGTGCTATCATTGTGTCAAATGTGTGTTATGATTTTCTAAATGTGTTAAAAAATACGTGTAATTTGACAGGTTTCACTTATATCGAAGTTCATTATTAAGAAAAAAATTTTAATACAGTGAAATTCCGATTATTGTTATGGAAACTGAAAGACGATCAGATTTGTACGAAGAATGGAAAAGACGGGTAAATAAAATTTTATAATACAAATTTTAGCACAAATATTACAATTCATTTTGAATAAAATAAAATTATATTATAATAATTAAATTTATTTCTTCCATTTAAAAGGAAATATTAAAATCAATATTAAAATCAATATTTATAATATTAAAAATAATTTTTTTCAATTATTATTAATTAAAATAAATAAAAAATAAATAAATATTAATTTTCAATGATCCATTTGTTGATTTGTTAAATAACATTAAATTTTTTCATTGTAATTCAATCTTAATAATTTAAATTTTTATAAGAATTTGAAATAATAATAAATAATGTTTTAGGCTTTTCTTGGTCCACTTCCCCAAGGATTTTTAAGATTGGAAGAACGTAATGTACAATTACAACAAGAAGCAGCAGACCAACAAGCTGCACTTGCACTTCATCAATTGCAAATGCAGAATATGCCTACTATGCATGAACCTCATGTTGGCAGACTTAGTATAACAATTGTTCAGGTAATTTTATAATTTTCATATATATCCTTAAGTTAATTTTTAATATACATCTTTAAGTTTTATAAAATAGTAATGTATGTTTTATAATAACATTTTATTCGTAATTTCAAAAAGATACTTCCTATAGGCTAAACTTGTAAAAAATTATGGAATGACAAGAATGGATCCTTATGTGAGATTAAGAGTAGGTCATGCTGTATATGAAACACATACATGTTCAAATGGAGCAAAAAATCCACATTGGAACAAAGTTATTCAATGGTGTGTATTTCAAATAATTTATATACTAAAATTTATTATTGTTAAAACTATTTAATTATTGTATAAACTATTAATAATTTATATCTATTTGTTATTATTATTCAGCTATTTGCCACCAGGAGTCTCACAAATATATATAGAAATTTATGATGAATGTTCTTTTGTAATGGATGAATTAATTGCATGGGGTCACATAGATATCCCATCACAAGTTCTTCAAAAAGGAGAGACACATGAAGATTGGTTCATGCTTAGTGGAAAGCAAGGAGACAATCAAGAAGGAATGATAAATTTAGTTTTTAGTTATACGGTAAAAATAATGAATAATAATTCAAAAATAAAATAATAATAATAATTAAAAAATATATTTTAATCATAATTAAAATTTTATTTAATATATTTTAATAGACTAAGTGTCAGTCTTATATGAGTGCACCTCCAATTATGATGGTTCCTTCTTCAACAATGTTTGGTATGACACGATATGCACCAGTAAATGTTTACACAGCACCAACTACAGCTACTGTATCATCTGTTATTCCCAGTTCTATGCCAAATGCTGAAGTTGAATTAAAACAAGTAATGTAAAAAAATTATTATTTATACTTTTTTCTTGTAATATAACAAATTAGTAATCATATAATATAGATTTCAGAGATGTTTCCAAATGTGGATAAAGAAGTAATTAAATCAGTTTATGATGCAAATAATGGAAAAAAGGATGTAACTATAAATTCATTACTCCAAATGTGTGAATAAGTAATTTTATATACAAATTGCTATTTAATTCCAAAAGCCATGTTTATGTTTTCTGCTATGTTGTATTTCTTTTGAACTGTAATATATTTGCAAGTTATTTTCATGCATTTTATTGGTATATTAATGTTTAACAATTTTAATATAAGAAAATCCATATAATATATTGGATAAGAAAATATATTTTTTAAAAATCTTTTATACATTTATTGATTTTGTTTATATTTATTGTTTTTGTTATACATAAAATTTTGTTTTTTGTATTCTATATGCATAATATAGAATAATTATCATTATTTATATATACAAATAATTTTATTTTTATTAAAAAATTTGTATTCATATCATATGACAGTATGAACAAATAAAAATATGTAAATTTGTATATTATGTTTAGAAATATAAAAATATTATATTCATGCACATTTAAGCAGAATATATTGACAAATATAATCTAATTTTTATTAAAATGCAATATTCGTAAAAATGAAATATCAATTTTCGGTTCTGCTATGCTATTGAAAATTTGTAATTTTTTTATAAAATGTAAAATATAATAATAAATCTATAAATTGTTATATGCTTCAATGAATTATTAAAATTATTTTATCCTCATGTATAAAAATTTTATTTAATGATATAATTATATTATTTGTGATAAAAATGAATCATTCTCAACTTATGAAAATATTAATTTTTTTTTATAATTCTTTTATCTTTGTTTTATAATAATATTATACACCAATAATTTTTTAAAATATTTATTAACTCCACAAATTAATTCGTCCATATATAAAAATATGTACTTTGCCAATATGGTAAATACTTTTTTACTGGCTCTGTTACAAATCTTGCCAGAGGTATTTTATTAGAAAGTGCAGTTAAGATTGCATATATTCTAATACGACTATATTTATCATAAAATGGAGATTTTAATATATAAAGAAGTAAAGTAAGTCTTCGTCTGAAGAATTCTTTTTCTTCTTCTTTACTAAATGATATATTTTTCATCTGATTATTAATTATTTTTAAACTGCAAAAAAAATGAATTTTTATATTATAAAACAAATAAATTATTTTCAATAAATTTTATAATAAATATTACCTGATTAAATCAATGGCAAATGATAACAACCATGGAGACCAATGTTTTTTTCCAGTAAAAGATATACATCCCAAATGTAATAATGGTTTAATAATATAAAGAGTCTAAAAATAAAATACAAAATAGTCAATAAATATATTTTAAAATATTATTATATTCGTTTGATTTTTACCTCAGCTAATATTAAATTTTTTTCTGATGTAGAGCACATATTCAAATTATCATTATTGTTAACATTAGAAGATAATGGCTCCCATGTATGTATACGTAGAGAATTAATACCTTTTATACTTCTAACAACAGTACCAGATCGTTTTAATATAAAACTTTCTCTTGATTTTTCATTATGTGAATCATTAATCTTTTCTCTATTAAGTGGCTGTATTGGAGGACTTCTCGTTATTCGTTCTTTATATAAATGAACTAATAGAAGTCTTAATACAGTTCTATAAAATATTCATAATATGAATACAAATTTTTATAAAAATATTAATATATAAAATTTTAAATAACTTACTTAAATATTTGAATGATAGTTATTATAAACCATTTTCCAATTTGTCCCCATAACTTTTTCGCAGAAATCTCAAAAAGAGCTTCTGTGTATTCTACTACAGTCAGCCAAATTTTTATTTTCGATTCAAACTTAGAAAATTTTAAATGTATACATTTCTCACTATACATTAATAAATCATTGAAAAATACTATTAAATTCGAAACTGAATACAATAATTCTGATATAAAGGAAGAATTATTAAATTGACCTAGAAATAATTTATTTTATAAATGTCAGAAAAACAATTGCTCTTTTATAAAATTTTTCTTACCAGCTGTGAAATAAGGCAAATATTGAATCGTATTTTCTATGTCAGATAATAATTGAGGATTTTCTATAATCCATTTTCTGTATGGTTTAATGATTTTTAATGCAGAAGAATGTACAGTGTTTAACACCATTTTGATCTATTAAATAATGTAACAAAACATTTGCAAGTAATCACGATAATAATCTTCTACTATTAATATAGTCTATAGTCTATAATCTATAGTCTATAGTTTATATCTATAGTGTATAATTTATAGTTCATAATTTAAATATATTTTTTTTCAATATAAACAAAATATCATTACTTTTTTAAATGAATTTATTTTCTTATGCTTTATTATTACAGATCTGTTTTTAAAAAATATTCAAATGATCGATATATATTATCAAGATATTTCAAGATTTTTAATATTATTATTCTTAATTATAAAAGTGATCATATATATTATATATTAATAATATATAATATATATTAATAATAAAATATATATATAAAACAATAATATATATATAAAACAAATTTATATATTATCAATGTTGAGAACTTTGAAATATTGACAATATATATTGCTCATTTGAACACTCTATTAAATATACAATATATTATAGAATAGAATAATAGATTATATTATATATATTATACAAAATAGAATAATAAATATATTAAAAAAGTAAATATTTTATAGAGAATTATTAAAATTTATTTTTTATATTAATAATAATAATTTTTATATTAAAATTGAATAATATAAATTTAAATTAAAATTAAATAATATAAAATTCTATAAAATTCTTAGTATTCTTTCATGTTTTAATAATTTTAAATCTATATTAAATTCATTTATCAAAATAATAATTTTAATTAATAATAATTTTACAAATAATTAAACAAGTAATTTTTATTTTCAAAAAATTATAAAATTAATTTTTATACTTATACATATTTATAAATTATTGATGAAGATAAAAAAATAAAACATTTTTATTTTTAATTAAATATATTTTTTATAATTAAATACTCTTTAATAGATTTTTTGAATTTGTTTTCTTTTTATAATGAATATAATTCGTTACAAACTATACTCAAGTTTAATTTATAAACTATAAATTACGAAGTCTAATTCCATTCTATTATAATTATAGTTCATTAACTTTTTCATTCTACTAACATTGTATTTATATTTTAGTATTTTTTTGAATCATGAATGAATATGGAATAATTACAACACCAGAATACTTTCAAAATGAAAAAAAACATGAAGAATATCAATATTTAAATTTGATCAAAAAAATCATCAAAGATGGAACAAGAAAAGATGATCGTACTGGCGTGGGAACGTTGTCCATTTTCGGAACCCAGATGAGATTTAATTTACGAAATAGTAAGAAAATTAAATATATTTACATTAATTTAATAAATTATCAATTTCAAATATCATTTAAAAATTTACAGCACATATAATTTTTTCATATATTTTCTTTTATATTTTATAATTTTTTTATATATATTTTCTTTTATATCTTTTTAAATTTTTCACAAAATAAATATCTAGGAAATTAAATACAATAATAAAATATATTAATATAATTATTATAGATATATTTCCATTATTAACTACAAAACGCGTATTTTGGAAAGGTGTAGTGGAAGAATTATTATGGTTCATTAATGGATCCACAAATGCTAAAAAATTAAGCGAAAAGGATGTTCATATTTGGGATGCGAATAGTTCACGTGAGTTCTTAGATTCTTGTGGTTTTACAGATAGGGAAGAAGGAGATTTAGGTCCTATTTATGGATTTCAATGGAGACATTTTGGTGCAACATATAAAGATATGTACAAAGATTATAATGGAGAAGGTAAAACAATAATTTAATATTACTAAATTTAATTATACAAATTTAATTATCTACAAATACATTGAAAGATTTGTTTATACAGGTATTGATCAATTAAAAGAAGTTATAGATAAGATACGATATTCTCCCAATGATAGAAGAATTATAATGACAGCATGGAATCCAATTGATATTCCAAAAATGGCTTTACCTCCTTGTCATTGTTTTGTTCAATTTTATGTAAGCAATGAAGAATTATCATGCCAACTTTATCAAAGAAGTGCGGATATGGGTCTTGGTGTACCATTTAATATTGCATCTTATTCTTTATTAATTTATATGCTGGCACATATTACAAACTTGAAGGTAAATTTATAAGAAGAAAAAAATTACAAAATTTTTAAGAAAATTGTATTTTTTTTTAGCCAGGTGAATTTGTACATACAATGGGCGATTGTCATGTATATCTTAATCATATATCCGCACTTGAAGAACAAATCAAACGTGTACCAAAACCATTTCCATGTTTAAAAATCACTAGAAATGTTAAAGATATAAATGATTTTACAGCAAATGATTTTGAATTAATTGGATATGACCCGCACGCAAAAATCTCTATGCCAATGGCTGTTTAAAAACGAAATTAATAAACAAAACGAATAACAAAACTGAATGATCTACTGACACAATCTATATAAACTTTTCATCTAGAAGTATTATTTCATTATTAAGAAAATACATGTTCAACTGACATTTAATCAGTGAATGAATATATAATTCATATACTATTATAATATATATTTTTTTAATCATATATTTTATTTTCTAATAAAAAATTTTATTCTTTTTCTTTTTTAATAAACTTGTATCTTAATAATTGTATTTATATACATACATATATATATGTATATATATTTATATGTATATATTTTTAATTATTTATATCAATTTTTTTCAGTACCAGTTTTAAAAGTGATCCATACATGTCTGTTACAATTTTAACAATTAAGTTTTAGCACATTTTGAATTGCAAAAACAATTGAATAAAAGAAATTTTTTGATGTAACTGACAAGTATGGACGATAAAAGGCCTTATATAAGCAACTTTCAAAATTTAATAAAAGTATCATCTATACAATATATTAGTCCAGTACTTTCTTAAATCATGTATGTAAATATTTGAAATATTTTCTCGCGTAATTATAGCGGGAAATAAGAACGTTTCTATGTACTTTAAAGCAGCACTTTAAACAAATATGTTATTTTCAATTTACTTCATTAAAAATAATCGAAGACATTTAAAAAAAGGGGAAATAATTAAGAAAAGTTTCTGGACATTAGGGGCTAGCACATCTTTGTATCATTAGATGATGAAGTACTTAATTGATGTAATTGCTGAGTAATAGCCAGAGTACCACTTTCACTTACTGTAATAGTTACCCAAATAACATCTAAATAAAAAAGTAATTAATAATATTAAAAATTAATATAATTAAAGTAATAATAATATATATTAATAATATTAAAAATTAATATAATTAAAGTAATAATAATATATATTAATAATATTATAATTGAAGTATAGTAATAATATTATAAATATCCAATAATAATAAGATAAATGAATTCACCTCCAAAAAAGGTTTCTGTAGATTTTATCATCATCCTCCATTTACTTTTAAATGTACCACAATATGGAGGACTTTGAAGATCCATACTTATTACTGTTATTTCTGCAGGACTTAAAGATGGAACTGGTACCCTTGTACATGCACCCATTTGTACTCCTCCAATATATTGTAAGCAAACTCCTTCAGGCCATGTTTCCGTACCACTATTTTGTATGTGCCAAGATTTTTGAAAATTAGTGAGTGGTGGTATTGATTCTCCTTCACCAATAGTGCTATCACATATCAGTGTCATACAAGGAAATTTATTTTGAACTGGAGATTCAAAATCAAAATAACTACATATAGCTGCTTGGAGATTCCTGTAATTGTATGTTATATATATGTAAATTTGTAACAATTTTTACATTATACATACAATTTTATGTTAACAAAATATCTTCAGTAGTTTAACAAATATATATTCAAAACTCATTGCTTTTTCCTCTTTTATTATTTAAAATTTATTATATTTGATTTATATATTTTATCATAATTTTCCTAAATAAATAACATTCTAACTAAATAGTCTTATTATAAAATATACATTAATAATATACAATAATTAAAAAAAACAAAATATTATATTTATAATTATAAGCATCAATAAGATAAATAAATAACTTTCGACAAGATAGTACTACCTAGATTATAAATATGGCGATGGTAGGGTTAGGTCGCAAAATTAAATTTGATTAACACAAAACAGTACGCGTATCTCACCAATTATTCATATCCAGAAAGAACGCAGCAGTAGTTTCATTTAGCTGGCTACCAGCCAGCAACTTCTGCAGCTGTTTCACCAGATCATCCTTGTCGGTGGTGCCTAGACAACTAAACTGGTGAATCAAATGCTGGTCCACGTTGTCCATGTTCATGATGCGTTTTCTCCCTCGTTCAATACTCCATGTAACACAACTGTCATACACGTACGGGACCGTGAGACGCGTTCTGTTATCGTTTGATCTTTAACAGCAAATTTTAAATGTCATTCTTCATGACGTTCATCCGTGCGCAGTAGGTGCATGCATCTATACTGTACACTCTATACAAGAAATGTAATAATTATGAATATGTACAGTCCGTAGATGGTAGAATTCACATCTAATAATTTTCGTCCCTTTGTAATGCGATATCACCTTGACCTTGAGTGCTACTAGTCAGCGAGTTTTTAAGATAGATAAATAAATACGCAAAACGATTCTATCTTTCATGAAATCAGTCGTTCGTTATATAAATGCAACATTAAATTACACGAATTTTAATTATTATTAATTTTTTTGTTTTTTAAAAAATGCATTCTATGTAATAAAATTATAGAATTATTTTAAATTAGAAGATTTAAAATTTTAATTTTTGAAATTATCAATAATTATATCAATAATTATAACGAATTAAAATTTCGATAAATAATTATTAATTAACAGTTTAATATTTAAAAATAAGATAGATAGAAAATAAAAAAATTTTTATCTTCTATGTTGCACATACATATAATAATTATAAAATAGAATATAACAAATGGAGACAAAAAATGCGGGAATTTTAAATTATATTTTCTTTAAACAAATAATTTTTATAATATATTGAAAAAAATAAAAACATATATATTAGATGAGATAATTTAAAAAATAAATTTTATTGATTTTCTATGCATCTATGTTATCATTTCTATATTTATTAATATTATATTTCTATGTATTCAATACTTTTTTCTGATTAAAGATTATGCAAATAT